GCAATTCGCACACTAGACAACGATATACGCTTCGCAATAAATCTCTCCATACAATTTCTGAGCTTGTTCATGACACCCAATATTCACCAATTATAGTAACCTAAAAATAACCCAAACTATGTTGATAGAATTACACTTTCAATCGGGCAAACACGAACAAAAATGAAATCGGCATTGGATCATATCGATAAGTGGAGTCTGAAGTTTTAAATTGTGATTAATTAATAACAAAATGCAATTGATCTTGCATCCGATTTTTTGCCGGCGGCAAAGTTTAACAAGCAATTACGTTATTTAGTTAAATTCCATTTTTAGTTTACATTTGAAATTAATATATTATTTACGTTTCGCATATCGGTATCAATTTTGGTGCATGCTAAACCCATTTTAACTAATTTTTTTTTGCTGCAACACAGTAGAATTTGAAAAAATATCACAAAACATATGTATGTGTTGTCTGACAAAGTGCGAAACATTGTCAAATAAAATGTTGAAAATAAAAACTTGATGGTTTTCTTCTTCTAACTATTATAACATAAGATGCGTATGATTCTTTCAGTTGGTTGCAAAACGGGCAAAATGGGGCATAAAAACACTTTTCTCATGTGTGTGTGTGCGTGTTTTCTTCTTCTTCTCATAAATGAGGCAAAAAAGGATCCGAATGTGTGAAAGAGATAAGCAGCAAGAGACTGAAAGAATTGCTCGATCAGATTGGTTACGTGCAATTGATTTAGAATGTCGGTATTCCTTTGACTTGTTTTGACCTGAATGTGAATGCAGTGCCATTTATCTACCAAGGTTTTTAGTGTACTAATTTTCGTGTATGCTTTTTTTTTCGTTTCGCCTTCACCCTCATTCACTTTTCTAAAGAGCGCTCTGATTGACAACGATTTAGCAATTAATTTTGTGTTTGTCTCATCGGCAGTGCGTTTAAGTTCTTTCTTTTGTGTTTGATCACATTTTCCCAAGCATTGCATTTTATATGTTTCATCACATTACACCTGCGATCGATTTTACCGATGTTTTTTTTTTCTTCTCATCTTCAATATCGCCGGATCGGCTTTTTTCATTTGTTGCCGATTTCATTTGTTGCGGTTGTGGACATAAACTATCCCCGAGTTTAAAGCTGCAGCCTTTTTTCTGTTGGTCCTTCGTTTTGGCTGTCATTGTTGTTGTCGATTCGTTCAATCGACATAATTTATTGAGTCATTAATTTATTTCAGTTTTATGTTTTTTCTTGTTCTTCTTCTTCGGTTCATGCAGGCCAAATCGGTCGATTGAGAGTTGCAAAATTTACGGTTTATTGGGAAATATTGCACAGTTTCGTATATAAATTTGTTTTTTTCTTTATTTGTTGGCATTCCATACTGTCGAGTCAGATTTGAGTCAATCAGTCCCATTATGCGGATTTGTTTTGAAACGAAGTGACCGAATTCATAGTAAACACTTTGAAAAAAAAAAAAAAAAAAATTAAAAATAACCGGTACTGATATCGTCCGGTGTTAATCAAACACATACACATCCATAACTAAATTAAAAAATAAATGTGACAAATCATCTATACCAAATCACATTCTTTATCGAAAAGGACCCCACATATGTAATGATTTCGTCGTTTCCTCTTACCACTTCAAAGAGGTACAAATTAATTTGAGTGACGATATTTTTATGATTTTTTTTTTTTACTGAGACGCGACAAAACCGATTTGTAATGGAGAAACATGAAACGTACAACGAATAAACTAGAAAATATGGTTACATACTACGCGTTTGTAGTTCCATTCAATTTGAAATCATTCTTGGGGAATGAAATCATATTCGTCACGCATACACTTCATTGTACACATATACATATATAAATGAGTTTTGTACCGTTCTGAGAAGCTGTAGAACGGAAAAATGATTCATTTTGATTTCATTCTGAATGCGAGAGACCATTGATAACGAACCATACGAATAGGGTGAAAGGAAGAAACAATTAACGCGCTCGCCGTAAAGTGTAATCTAATTTTTATATTTCTTCATTTTTTTTTTAGTAATCTCGCTTCTCACTCAATGTAACACTTGGTCGATGTCACTTCGATTTGTTTTGGAGTTTCTTTTGGTACGTACGTACAATGAGCACTGTATTGAGTTTGCTGTGTTACTTATATTCGGGAAATGTCAACAACTAGCGACCCTATAGATAGATGTCGTGGCAATTTTTGAAAGTTGTCGAGTGTCAATTTTCCAAATGTCTGTTCGATGTATACATACACATTGTAAAGAGCAAATAATGCCATTTTCGAAGCTGCCAGCGCAACCGTTTTCGTGCGTACGACACATGCACGCGTCTTAATTTCACACACAATTATGAACATTTAAAAAAAAACTTTAGTAAATTTTGTGCGTGTATGTGGAAACTGATCAAAAATCAAGATTAAAAATTCGGTGGAACTTTGTATTCCAAAACTAATGCCTGACGCGATAACTGTCATTTCACGTAATAAATGTTTGTGTAGATGTTTTTTTTTTTTTTTTAGAAAAAACAGGGAGAATTCAGAGCCAAACAACAGACATTTCAAGAATATAATGATTATTCAAATGAACTTTGATAACATTTTAACACGCAGCGACCTTATCGATTCGCTTTCCACTTCTGTTCCTCCAGCGGATTTAGACAAGAAAGGCAAGAATGTGATTCGATTGTTCGTCGCTTAAGCCAGAATGTGATAAAAAAAAACCACACATTCCATTTTGACGTCTTGACTCTTCATTCTGTTTCAACTGTTTAGCACACACACACAGTCTTAGAATATAATTAAATACGTTGTGGATCGTTAAATTTGGTAATGAAAATCACGATAAACCTTTATTTGTTACAATATGTATTTAATTTGAATGCGTTGTTGCGGCTGTTTTTATTATGATTGTTTGCTGTTGAGCGTTTCATTGCTTCAACAGTTTTATCTTAAATGCACATAAAGTGCTAATGATAGCAAATAATATGTGGCTACTTCGTTTTTTTCTGTTATAAACCACATCGATTATGTTCAGACGAGAGATAGACACATAGAGAACGATGGTTATATATATAAAGACACTTGAAGTGCAAACGAGAATGTGACACAAAAATCCCCGAAATGAATACAAATTGAAATGTATTAAAATCAGCGGGAAAAACATCAACACATTATCAATAAACAATTAAATCATTTCGTAGATACGAACGAATGTTAAAAAATATCGTTCCTTTTGTTCTGCTCATTTGAATGAAAATTGAGTTTTATTAGTCGACCGTAGTTTCAATATATTTGAATTGCCAGACTCTCGATTCGGTTCTCCTATTATTTGTTGTTCTTGTGTCATCACGTTAATTTGAAATTGATTGAACTTCATTAGCAAACGTATTAATAATAACAAAGCATCTCAACATTCATTTAGCACCTGTTTTAGACTACGATTGAATACGTTATTCAGGCCAAAATTCAAATCGGAACGAGTGTAAAAAGGCCATGAAACCAAACTAAATCGAAAAGCAAGAGAGAAAAGGTAAGAACAAAAAGATAAAAACGAGTGATTTAAAGGCGCTTTTATCATTCGTTGATTGATTGTTGTTTGATAAACGAAAACACATTTGACTACCGGTAACTACTTAATTTTCTTCATTTACTTGAAGCTCTGAAGATAAATCGGTGAATGTGATGTGAGTATGCCTGCCCCGTTTCACTGGGCAGATAAAAGACAATGAATAAGTGGCTTCGAAATGGAGAAACAATGTTTTATTTTCATTTGAGTTTGAAAAAAAAAAATCGATTGAGTTGTATGGTCTTTTTTGAACATTTGAATAGTTTTCTTTTGGTTTCGTTTTTATTTATCTACCTGCTCGTATGCCCTTGTCGAAGGCGTACGCCGAAATGGATCATTGCCTCAGCACTCTCTGATCGAATTAGGGAATTGTTATGCAAATTAATTTAAATCACTTTCTCGTCGTTGTAATCTTGCAGCTCTTGCAGCATTATTAATTTAAATGTATTTATAAAGTCATTGAAAGCACTAAAAGGAAACAAAACTCTTTGTTGTGGACAAAAAATACTCATAGAATGATAGTGGGTTGAGATGGGAATTTTCGATGAAATTCGATTCGTACTTGTTCACTTTTATTATACACCACAGTAAAAATTATTCGCATAATTTACATAACAAATTCCGAAAAACCATCAAACACAACGACATAAATATTTACACAAACTGTGCCATCTTTTTGGAGTATGAGATTGCTAGGTAGCCAAAAGACAACGAAACATGCTAAAGAATTCGTCGAACGATTCCATCAACGGCACATGTGTGCGTATATATTTGTGTTTTATATTGAATTCGGCATAATTTGAATTGCAGTTGTTTTTGGAATACTTTCCGAAACGATTTGCTATGTTTTTCCATTTCAAATGCGCTACCAAACAAAAGATACCACAAGTTAAACTTTGGTGTTTCGCATTCATTGTGTACTATGTGTTCACATGATGACAAAACAAAGAAGACAATTCCCAAATTCCGGTAAACAAATTTATTTGCTGTTTACGCGCGCGCAAGAGATTGCTTTTCCATGCATCTTGTGTTTTCGATCGCGCTCCTGTTGTCGCCTTTGTGAATTTTCAAGCAGATGCTTAATTTAGTTTGACATTTTTTCTCGTTGATTTTTTTTATTCAACTTTGAACTAAAATGTACGAAACATATTTTTTGTTAGTTCTTTGGATTCATATATGTAAATCGAAATCGTTCTTTCTTTTACTTTGAACCCATTGAAATCGTTGTGGTATTTTTTTTGTAGCATATGAAAACGAAACAATAAGTGGTAATAGAAAATAGTTTTCTGATCGCAGTAATCAAACAAATTGCAGAAAACCATTTTCGTTTTTATTTTCTTTTGAACACTTGACTAAATCGTTAAAATAAGATTGGAAATTCATGTCGCATGAATGAATTCGCAGTATGCGAAATGCTATGTGAATTTACTAACCTTGTCCATGATGACCTGCACCAAAACCTTGTCCAGGGAACATGCCCGGTGGAAATGTGGGCATTTGTCTTGCTCCCGGCCATGGAATGCCACCGGCCGCGCCAATTCCATGAAATGCGGCCGCCGCTAGCGCGCTGAATGGTGTTGGTCGAATGGGTACGTGTCCACTGAGTGCTGCCTGTGTTGCCATCAACATTTGGCGTGATTTTTCAATTTCACCACTATTTGGAGGCGTCATACTGTTTTCATTTCGTACATCCTCTATGTCAACAATCGAATTGTCATCGTCTTCGGCATTGGAATCATATTCGATGTCCGATTCGGCCGAGGCCGAGCTGTGTGGAGTGTTTCTTTCATTTTTTGTAGTTGAACTCGTCGTGCTACTCGAATCATTTAATTGATTTCTTTGATGCAGGAGGGCACTTCGTTGTAATGATGCTATCGCTAGCGGTGTAATACTATTATGTGCTAGGCTATGTTCAGTTGGGTTTGTGACAGATAATAGACTTTGATGCTTTAAATTTATCGGCGATGCTAGTGTAGTGGTGATGCTTGGCGATAGAGTTGTGGACGCTGGGGATGAAGCCAGTGACGATGGTCGAGTATCGGCCAGCAGCGAATCGACACTGAAATTGCTTATACGATTCGTCTTTTGTTGTTGCAGAATGTGTGGAACCGTCGGGCTTGTCATGGCCGTGCTTACAGGAGTAACTGTCATACCTGATGATTTTATCATGAATTTTTTTTTGGAAAATCAATGTTATTTTCTTCGCGATTTGAATTATAATTCTTTTTTTTCTCCTTTTCTCTTGGTAATTTTGTTCTTCTGGTATATGATTAATCGCTTTCCTTAATTATTTCACAAAACACACTTATCGCAATTTGTATACATATAATATGTTTGTATATTTTTTAATTTCTTCTCTTTTTTTCTCAATTTATTTGTCGGTGCACTTCCAATTAAAACACTTTGCACATAAAAAACGGCTTGACAATGTCACTAATAATATATTTTCAAAAAATATATACTTGTCTTAATTTTTTTATTCCTTTTTTTTAATTGTGATTTGATAACTCACTAGAACTCAATAAGACTTTGTTCATAATCAATTCCGGTAGAACTTTTAAAATACGTATTTAAATTTTTCTCTTTTTACTCAAATCGAAATCAGATCGCTCCGAAACAGGACATAATAAAATGTACGTCTTATCTGTTGCACGGTTACTTCAGGACTGAAACTGGTTTGGTGTGACTCTACACTTCATAAAAAAAATTCGAACAGCTAAGCGCAGAGTACGTCGCATTTACGGGCCCGATCACAAGCATCTCATGTACAAAAGCAGACGCACGCACACACTCATTCATACACAATACATACACTCCGATGAGTCCGGGCAAATGCATACAGGCAAACGACACCTTCAATTCGAACAGATATATGCACAGGGTCTAGCGAATGTACACACATGCTCACTTTTGCGATTGGACAAAGCGAACAACCGCATATGAGCAGGAGACTATCGCTTTAATATGTGTATGTATTGCACAAACACATCGTTTTTCCTATAGCAGATTGAGATGGTAGAGAGAGCATACGGTGTGATCCAATATGAAGTGGTGACGGCAAAGCGTGTCTTCTTGTGTTTTTATTAGCGCTTTTTTCTCTCCTACATCTTCATATATAGCTTATTTGCCAAAACTTTTGGATTGCGCTATTTGAGAAAGTCATGTGCGTTATTATGCAGTTGGAGTAGCAATAAAAATAAGCGACAAGCGGTACACTTTCACACAAATACATACGCGCGCGCGCACGATCATACATAGCGAGAGCGAGTGGTTCGGCACTACGGCAATCATCGGTGTGTCGTTCGTTGTTGTATGCTACCGTCGACAGTGACAACGGCTAAAGGCGAAGAGTGAGACAGACACACAGCGATGGATATTGTGTTGCCGCTGAATGTACACATATGATATACGCCGAATGGGTGTCGATATATGTTCCGAGCGACTGAACGTGAATGGGTCGCTCCGCCTTTCGTTCTTGACGATAATTCGCCATCCAATCAAATAAACAAATTTATTGACGGAAAATTATAAAGGTATATAATTCAAACATTATATAGATTTTTCTTGTTGGTTTTATTTTGTCTTCTTTTCGTTTTTTTTTTTTTTCTTCATTTCTTTCGCCGTCGCATTTTTGACTATGCTGTAGCTGTTGTTTTGTCGTTGCTTTTTCTTTTGGTATGCGTTAAGCGTTCATTTTTCATTCTTTTTTAATTTGTATCGTTCGTACGTCATTGAATCTTCTGCTTGTGCTGCTTCTACTTAAGCAGCACCGTTGCCTCACATTTTACGTATGATTTTTCCTTTGCTTCGCTTGCGTTTCAATCAACATTTATTTGATTTCATGTCTCGTTTCTTTCGCCCATCACGAGCCAATTGAATTGATTCATTGTGTGAGTGTTTTGTATGCATTCGCCTGATATACACATTATAAATAGGTGTAGCATACATTTTGCTGTCGCTGTAATTTTCTTATTTGACACTTTTTATAAAACTAAATTGAATATGATTTACAAGTTAAATGGTTGAATCCAACAAAAAACATGACACTCTTTCGAAGCAAATTATTTACCGTAACACATACACAAGCACAGGCACACTCCAGTCACCATCTCTTACACGAATGAATGCGCGGACGATTTGTAAGATAGGGATACATATTCATATGCATATGGCAATAATATTATTGTATGCCAAAAATACTGCTGCTACTGTCGTTGTTGTTGTTGTCGTCGTCGTCATCGACAACAACGTTGTTGTCGATTGTCGTGTCTTGAATGTGCCATGGATAAAGGAATATTATAATTTCCACAATGTTGAATAGTTGAATCGTTGCATTGAATGAGCGGTTTGCATTTCTCATCCTTATGAATTTTCAAGCATGTTTTCTTTGATACTCCGTTCGATGATGAATTGTGTACAAAAAATGGCAGATTCAATTCGCGCATACGATTTGCGCTTCGCACAGAGTGTTTAACCGAACTGCTTCAACACTCAGACTGTCGAAAATGGAATGGGAAAAGGCGTAAATTCATTTGCGATAATGTATATTTTATAATACGCGATGATTTATCTATGATACGACTTAGCCGTTTATGTGGAAAATGCTATGGTGCAAATTTATTCATGCATTTTTGTTGTTCTCACCCGTTTTTATATTTTTGGAATGGATTTTAATTTTTTGATGTGTTCCCATTTTTTGCTACTTCTTCTTTAGCCTATACCACGTTGATTTGCTCTTCGTTGCCGAAATGGTCGAGCATGGCAATACGGTTTGGTTGACATATAATATATAGCTATATGAGTTGCTTTTGTATTCGTACGATAGGTATGAAAACCGTGCGTATCAAACACCAATGCGATGCTACCGTATGCTCGCACAAAATGGGGGAACATTTTCCGCGATGATGTATTAAAATTTGAGAGTGACCAAAAAAGTGAGAAAAAAACCCGAAACAAAAATCACAAAAGAATACAAAAAAAAAAAGAAGAAAACAAATTTCAAGTGGAAAAAACGGAAACTGCACATTGACAGTGTAAGATTGGGCACGTCCATTTCTCTGAGGAGCCCGTACACAGCTGTAAGCATATTCGCATTAAATGTTTTTTCATTCGTTGAAAATCGTGCCATTCTTCTATCTACCATTCATATATACTAACCTGTAAATTTCGTTTTATACACGACCAGAATAGCATTTTCACAACGATAGCAGAGGAGAGAGTGCTGAACGGATACGAGCCGCAATGGGCGCACATTTCGCGTACAATCACTGTACTATAAATTGTTGTATGTAAATAGAATCTTCTATGTATAAATGGAATTTTATGTGCTCCACACAAAAGCTGCTCACAAACTGGAATTGAACGAACGAAAATGTCCTCTATGTCATTATGTATCATGGATGGATATTTCTTTTCTCCGCTTTGCACAAACATTTCACGCTTCTCGATGCCAATTTACTTTTTCTCATCCTCCAGATTTTGGCTTGTGCACCAGCACCACACACTACCGCGACCGAAAGCGCTTTTTTTTTTTCAAGTCTCGTCTTTCACCGTCATTTGTCCGTAATTACAATTAATAGGTCAATTAATATATGCATATACTTATTCACTGGCACTTCTACATAACACTAACACCATTTAACATTCAAATTACATTAGGTTTCGTTTTTTATATAAAACATTTATATCGCATTGAACGAATCATAGCTGTATACATTTTGAGCCATTAGCAATTAAATGTTTGGTGAATAAGTTTTTCTCAAGAATTTTGCGGCACACCAAGAATCTTTGTTTTTTAGAGCATACACAGTAAAACTTGACAAACAGACATTTTTTTTGTCAGGAAATCAGCATCATTATTGGCAATTTATTGACGCAAATCCTTGTAGCGAATTGTATTTGCTCGTAAGGTGAATCTCCACATTATTTATTTATTCCAATATTTGTCTCCGAAAAAATATGATTTTTTCGAATAATTCTACATGGTTCGAGTAAATATTATGACTAATTGCTATCAAATTTTACATTCGGACCAGTACTATAGATAACTGTAGGGGACCAAAAAATTCCATTAAATTAGATGTATTTTATTGCAAAATTATGAGCGGTTTCCAACCAATCAGCTGCGAAAAATGCAATTTCCTTTACCACAAAGTAAAATAATTTAATTGCTAAAGCAGCAAGTCGTTAAACTGTGAAGGAGAAAAAAATATATGTATTTTTATTGTTGAATTTGAAAATTGAGTTATAATAAAGCGAAACGAAAGGTGAACAAATTGCTTAAGTAAAAATGGTGACTATGTGACGTTTTTTTCCGTGGTCACTGCGAAGAAATTTTAATTAGCGAACACTTCATTTATTGATGTAATACAAACGACAATAAAAAGAACACGAAAGAATTATGCATAGGATCAGTAAAGTCTAGTGGATAATAGTGCTCGATAATTTGTATTCGAGTTTATTTGAGCATCCATATTGCAAGTGTATAATGTGCACAATTGCTGCCCACTTAAATGGGATTGAAATGCTTCGCAGCAAATAATAGGAAATTACATAAAAAGCATAGTCAAACAAATCATAAAGTCAACGGCGCGCACATATTCGAATTTAGCTCCTTTTTGCCATACTCAAATATTTATTTAACAACTAGCGCTTGTTGGACGATAACACAATATACTTTGCAGATTGTGAAATATTCACGTTAATTTATTGATACATAATATTCTAGCTATAATGTGTGTGCATCAGTACATTTTTCCCAGCAAGTCGTTCAATACAAACTAAACAACGTTCAATTTTTTTCAGTGTAACGGATAAAATGTTTACGTCCAAAATTGAAATTTGTTAAAATCCAAAAATTTCCCGGATGAATTTGTATTTCTTTATGACAGTCAGATCAATTGGGTCCAAAAATAATAAATCCTATAACAAAAATGAGAATAAAAACATACAAAATGTGTCCACCAGACTGAGAAAAACGAGTTGTTCAGTTTATCTCGGACGGTTTGCCGAACAAATTTTACTTGCTGTGTATATGAGCGTGTATAGGCGGCGTAGATTTAATTTATAAGTTTTATTGTCTTGTTTGACATGCGCAGTGCATACATATAAAATTACAATGGTTAATGAGTTTTCGTTGGTGATTGCCATTTATCGATTGGTCTTTCACCAGCCGAGAAGACGAATCAACGATTACAAAAAAAAAAACGCCTCATTCGGTAGCTATCACAACAATTGTATATATTCCATTGCACATTTGCTTCACACAAATAAAAAAAAACAAATATGCGCAAAAAATACACATCAAGAATAATCAATTCAATTGATTTTTCTCAATCAAGCATAAATTGCACATTTAGTTATTGCATTATGGCTGTATGGATGGTGATTTGTGGTGAGGATATGTTTATTGCGTTTCTTGCTGTTTATTATTTGCTACTTTTCTACATTTCTACATTTTTACTGTGGGTTTATTTGCATTTTCATCTATTACCGTAAGAATACGTTATTTGTAAATAAAAGCAACATTCTTCTCTCGTCAAATTTTATGTATTGAGCCTATGCATATTGAGCGTTTTTGTTTTTAAATTGCAACAACATACAAGCATACACACTATATTCCACACTTCGTATCAACAAATAGTTTGATTCGATTTTTATAGCCATTCAGAACCCATT